ATGTAAAGTTTGTAATTTATACAAACTAGAAATTCATAAAAAGGAAAAAAGTATAAGTAAATCACAAGAAGAAGTTAAAAATTTACTTTCTAGAATAAAAAAATGTACTAATTACCTTGTTAAACTAGAAGAGTCAGAACTATCAGCTAAAAGTGATAAGGGTGATAAATTGGATAACTTATCAGCACAACCATTACCACCATTACCATCAGTACCGTTAGCAAAAAATAGGCCATTACCACCATCACCATCACCATCACCATCACCATCACCATCACCATCACCATCACCATCACCATCACCATCACCATCACCACCACCACCACCACTACCACCAAAAAGTAGGCTACCACTACCACCAAAAAATAGGCTACCACTACCACCAAAAAATAGGCTACCACTACCACCAAAAATAGGCCACCACTACCACCAAAAAATAGGCTACCACTACCACCAAAAAATAGGCTACCACTACCAGCACCATCATTACAAAAGAAACCAGTACCAACACCAAGGAAGATTCCTCCTCAAGATACTCATAAGAAGCATGGTAAGGACTCTGAAAAACAAACTAATGCTTTAGATATGGGACACAAAGATATGGTATATGCTGAATTAAGTTTTGGAGGCAACCATAATGAAAATTATAAACCCGTTTCAGAATCTGATATAATATATAGTTTGCCTATGATTGTGGAAGGATCAGTAGTTACTGCTTCTCAATCTGAAGACTGTTCAGATGAAGATTTGAGATTAATTAAGAAGAAAATTTCAGATTTAGAGAACTTATATAAATATACTTCGGAATTGTCTAATAAGTGTGATAATGGTGACTGCAATTCAGAAGATTGCAAAGGATGTTCATATGCTCAAAGTTATAAATCTCAATTATTAGTTGAGTTGAAAGTTCTTAGTCACAAACTAAATAAGGATTTAGAGTATTGTAATAGAAAACGTAGAAATCTAAGTAAGTGAAAATGATTCAAAAGACTTAAAAGATAGTTTAAATTATCTGTGAAATAATATGGAGTATTAAATTAAGAAATATAAGTGATTTAAAAAGTTAAAGTAGGGATTAAAGAAATACATTTAAAGGATTCAACTAGAAAATAACCTGAATAACTAAAAGAATAGTAAAGTAAATTTGTTTAAAAAAGTATAAAGAGTTTAAATAAGAAGTATAAGTGAAAATTTTATGTGATATAAAATGCTTTATAATTATGGATGTATAGAACAGAACCTTAAAAGTTTAAAGGCTTCCTAATATTAATAGTATCTAATGGTATAATTCTCAGATATTTTACTTTAGATTTTTATTATTTCCTTTATTAATTATAAGGATTTCTAAGATTAAAAATAAGGATTGTTTTATTTTAAGCATAATTTTTATCATTTTTATTAATATTCGATGGAATTTATAAAAAAATTTAATATTACTTAATAAATAATAAGAATTTGTGTGGTATTTTATTTTGATATTTATACCCGTGTCTATGCATCTCCATGAATATTACACCCATTTATATTCGAATATACAGGCACATAGATAAATTACCCTCATTGGAATAATTTGAATATTACTTGTATTAAATATAATTCCACTTAATTGCACTTAATTAGAAATTGGACTTTTTTTTTTCTCTTTAATATTGTAAAATTTTATTATTTGATTAATTTGTAAGATACTTAAAATTTAGAAATGTTTTTATTAATAGTACACAAATTATCTAAATGGTTATCAACATTTATATTAGTTTATGGAATATTTCAAATATTAAATATTGAATATAATGATAATAAAGATATTTCAAAGGATATGGAATATATATCTTTTATTTATCTTAGGGTAAGTAAATTAAAAAAAAAAAGCTATTTTAACCAAAAGACTACATCATGTACAAAACCAGAGTTTGAAGAACTAATACAAGAATTAGTAGAATTATAAGTCAAATATTCTGAATTGAAAGTGAGAAATACATAATACTACTATTAACTATGAATTATAATTTAAGAACATATTTTAAAGAAGTGGGATAAAATATATACATGTATAAACAGTATAGAGCTTGAAAAGTTGTCAGAAATAAGAATAAATTTACAATTTGTATCAAAGAAATTTATATTCCAAGAATTCTTAGGAAATTAAGTTTAATTAAAGAAAGCTGAAATCTAGGTTAGCCTTTCTTGAAGAATACAAATAAAGAATAAAATAAATATGTTGTACTGAATGTGAAAGATATGACCTCTTATATGGCTTCTTAGGAGTTAGTAGTAATATATGTGTAAAATATGTAATGATTAAACAAGAAGTCAAAAGTATAGAAGAAACTTGGGTGATGATGAATTGAAAAAAAATAGATGCTTATATTAGCGAGTATATAAATGACTTTTCCAAGAATACCAGAAAATATGAATCCAGTTGTAGAATTAGAAGGTATAGTTACTAATGGTAATTATATTCAAGAGCCAAATTAATCAGAATTAACTGTATCAAGTCAGGAACTCGTAATACTATTACCACTATTACTAAAGATAAAATAAACCGATTTTAGTTTGTGTAATTAAAACTTAAACATAAAAAACTATAATTAGTACTACAAGAAAAAAAAGTGGACTAAAGAGAATCGTGATCACCATTATAATTTCTAGTGAAAATAATGTATACTGAAATGATCATTATTATATCAATAATTATATTAGATCTAATGTTTTGTAATATGAGATTTAGATTATCTGAAATAATATGATGATAAAAGGAATAAAAAATAACTGTGTTATAATTTAAAAATTTAAATAATGAAGAATTATATGGGTTAAATAGAAAATTCAAATTAAAAAAAAATTATGTGATAATTTAAAAATACTTCATAATTATGATATCGAATATAAAAAAGAATTTTGTTAAAAATCTTCATTTTATCGGGAATTATAGGAAAATCAAAAATCATTATTAAGGGAATCAAACAAAATTTTTTAAATAACAACAAAAGAAATTTAAATGATTTTATTGAGGAAACTAAAATATTTAATTAAGAAATAGAAACAACTTAAACAGTTAGAAGAGATACTAAGGGAATATATATGAAAAGATAAAACATTTCAATTGGAATTAGAAACAATTTAAACAGTTAAAAGTTGATAGAATATATTCAAAAGTTAGAATATTTAATTAAAAGATGAAATGATCTATCATATTTTAAATATTGAATTTTTTTTTTTGGTTATATATGATTTTTGATTTTATAAACTATTATATTAACTTTCTATAATATAATTAGTCAAAGAAAATCAATTTTTATTTTATTTCAACCATATGAATATCTTTTTGATCATATTTAAATAATGAATATATAAATTATAGTATCTATTAATATCTAATTGTTAAAATACTAGTTCTGAAGAATTACTAAGAAACAGATCCATAATTATATATACTTTTTTTAATATCTATGGTTATATTAAATCCTCAGTATATAATTTTGTGTTTATAGTCAAAAACTCTAATATATATGATTTTCTAAAGAATAACAAAAGTTCACAGTAATTCCAACTTTATATTAAATAATTTGCAATATGAGAATTAAGTAATTATAAACTCAATATAATAGTAATTAGTTTTGTAATATAATAATATATTTTTTTAAAGTGATTTGGTATCTTTCAGTAATTTCATTTAAAAAATAATTAATTTTCAATTAATATTGATTAGACCTTTAATAATAATGACCTCTAATATGAATAATTATGTAAATTAATTGTTAGTAATATTTGACTTTTAATTTTTTATTTAATAGATATACCTAACAAAAATAATAATATATAGATATTGAGTTTGTTATTTAAAAGACTTTCATTATAATGATAAATAATATAATATGTGGTTTGTGGTTTCTTTTTTCCTAAAAAAAAAAACATTTGAATTCCTAAGATATAAAAGTAGTATATTTAATAGCTAATAAAATACTTAAATAATTTCGTATAGACTTCAGTAAAATAAAAATTTAATTTTTTAATATTTCCATTAAATTTATTATATTAATTCTTTTGTTGGTGGTATAAAATATTGTCTCATTACCTTTGTATCCACAAATTCAAATCCTAAATTTGTATATATAGCTCTAGCAATTTCACATTCAACAGTAAGATCTAAACGACTGCACTTAAATTTATTTTTTGCTTCATCTATAATATGCTTACATAAAAAAGTTCCAATTCCTCTATTTCTATATTCAGTACTTACTATTAAATGTTCCAATCTTGCATCATCAGGTCGACCTAGATGAGGTAATATGTATAAACTAGCATAAGCTATTATTTTATCATTTTCAGTATCTAATATACAGTATGGATGAAATGAGGATACTTTTAATTTTTCTTTGACTTCTTCTTCTGTAAGATATGATGTACAACGTGTTACACCTTTCATTAAATTAAAAACTTCCTTATAATCTGTAAATTTTACCTTGCGTACTTCAAATGAGGATATTAAGTCTTGCATAATTCCTTTTTTTTTATTATAATTTTATATAAAAAAAAACTTCAATAAATTTTTATATTTTTTACCTTGAAAAAAATGTATATGAATATGAAAACTATAAAAAAGTTTTAGCCTTAGAATTTTAGACTCTATCGTAATAGTGAATAATGGTCATCTTTATGATAATATATATTCAATATAAATGAATACATGCATGCATTTTTTTTTTGCATGTAATAGTAAAAGGATGAATAATTTGATACCATTTTGGCGCCAAACTGCGCTATAATAGTATCGTGAATATTAATTTGTCTTATAGGAAATTTCTTTATGGAATCAGGATTAAATATAATTAATTCTAAATATATAGATTGTGATGCAAGATATAGGGTACATAAAAGAAGTAAGACTGTTCCTTTGTTAAAATCATACCAACGTTTACAATCTTCTAGATATAAATATTCATGTTATTCTTCAAAATTGATATCAAAAAATGGTTTATTAAAGATATTGTTCATAATTATTACTATATTAATAGTTATTGATATGATATTACGATATTATGGAATATTCTTTTTTAATGCTCTCTTTTTTTCAACACAATCAACAAAAGCAGATGGTGAAAATATAAATTTTGAAATATTAAGAAGTACTTTCGAACATTTTAATAAGTTAGATAGTAAAAGTATCTCTTTAGCACAAATGAGTAATGGAATTGGAGTAACTAGTAATAGATTTTTATCTTCAAGAAGTAAGATATATGAAATAAATTTTGAAAGTATTTTATATAGTAGAAGTAATATAAATTCATTACAAAAAAGAATTAAAGCAGATATTGAAAGAGGTAAAATTAGTGATATTGTCGGATTAATGGTATTATTATTAAAACATAAGAAGATAGGAACTGAATCTCCACTTTATAATATCATTAGAATATTACCACCTACAGATTGGTATACTGAAAATGGATTATTTTCAATGTCAAAGACAGATTTTGATGTTGCATCTTATGGTACAACAATGCAAGGAATTTATGCAGATGCTGAAAAACATTGTAATTCTGCAACATCATATATATATTCAATACAAATAAAACGTGAACTTGGATTACCTTTAACAGCTGACCATTCTAGTAGGGCACCAATAACACAAGCAGATGTTCAGTGGGCTTATATGATTATACGAACATATTCATTAAGTATAGAAAATGGTCTTGCATTTATACCACCTACCTTATTTATTAGAAAAGTAAATAAAGTATCTTCAATAAGGATAGAAATAGATAAAGAAGAGGATAATAAGAATATTAAAGGGATTTCAATTTATACATTAGGAAATATACAGAAAGGTGAAGAAATGGTTTTTGAAGATTTTAAAGGTATGACAGATGCAGAAATATATGTAAATCGTGGATTTTGGTTATTACCACCTCATAGAATGGTCATGCCTGTGGTATACCCTTTAAACCTACTTTCTGATGATGAAAATTTACAGAAAAGTTTACAAATATTACATGATTTTAACTGTTCTTTAAATTATACACATTATTATCAAATTGAACAGAATATCCCATTATTAAATGATTTTATACGTTGTTTAAAAATTATTGCTTTAATTAGATCAAAGATACCTAGTGAAATATTATTAAATAATGGGCAAAATTTATTAGGTAAACCTTCTACTCAGAAATGTGAAGTTGATGCAGCAGCAATTGGTATATCAATAATACAACAGAAAATAGATAAATTGAGATCTTCTGCTTTAAAAGTAATTGATCATTTTGGACATAAGACGACTCTTGAATTACCTGTTATAAAAGTTAGAGAAGCAGAAATGACTATATTAAAAGATATTATAAAAATATTGCATAATTGGTATAATATTGTAAGTGATGCTGATACATATGAAGCTTATTATTTTGACTTATTTTCAAGTATTCAAGGTTTTGAAAATTAGTTAATGAATTATATTACAATTAGAAAGTATTTTATAGGATTACTAATATATAAATAATAATATAAGAATATATAAAAATAGATAATAAATTAACAATGTTTTAAAAAATAAATAAATATCTATTTAAATATAGTAAATATGGACTTTCATATTATAAGTTAGAAGATACACCTTTAATCATATTTATAAATTCATTGTATAATGCATGAGTAACAGTAAATTCTTCTTGATGAGATAAGTACTGTTTAATTAAGACCCAGAAAGATTCAATTTCACCCTGAATTAGTGAAATATCAAATAAAATATTTACACTTTTTAAATAATTTATAGATTCAATTAGAAATCCATTAACAATACAAATAATCCAGTATGAGCAATGTTTATTTACAAGTTTTGTATTATCAAGATCTATATTTTTAAAAATTTGCCTTGATATAGCCCATTTCCCAAGCATTTGTACTTGTTGACTATTATTTATATATAATTCAGTAGTGAAAATTTTTTTTCTATTATTATTACTTTTAATACATAATTCACTATTTTTATTCGCACTTTCAAATGCACTTGTTGTATATACAATAATATTTGATAATTGTTTTAAAATATCTTTAAGTATATCCTCTAATCTTGATGTATTAAGTGCTATTGTTTGGATTTTATCTGTTAACTTTGATATATTCCATAGTACAAAAGTATGAAGAAATATAATCTCATATTTAGAAAACATTAGAGTCATAACTTGGGTAGTACTATCTTCTTCATTAAAATCTGAATACTCATGCTTATTAGCATTATTAATGAATATTTTCATAGTTTGATTATACAAATTAACTACTTTTGAAAGAGAATTTTTTCTTATACAGCAAAATAAATATAAAATTGAAAGAAAATATACTAATTGTCTTTCAAATATTAAATTATTTATATTAACATTCCATGGTGGGCTATGTTCACAATTGTTTGTTACAGATTTGGAATTATTATATTTTAAATTATTATCATGTACAAGTTCAATCAATATTTTTTCTTTTAAAACATTTAAATTAGGAATAGCCCTTGATGTATCATTAATTGATGTAATATATGACTTCAAAATTATTCCAATACAACTATCTATAATATCTTGATATGTTCTCTTTATAATTCTTAAAATAGAGTTCTCAGTTGTATCAGTATCAAGAATTCCAAAAGTTTCATATTCAGTGATAATCATACTTAGTCGTAATGTTATAGATTCATCACAAATTTCTTTATTAATTTTTATATATATATTTTTAATATCTTTTAAATCTTCTGTAGTAGATATATTTAATAAATCTTCCCAGATATTATTAGTAAAATATAAATGGCTACTAGTAGATATAACTTCGTTTATTACATATTTACACCAATCAATATAAGTTTTTGTTATCTGTTTAGTTAATTTCTGCCTATTTAAATATTTAGAAGTATCATTAAAATTCAACTCTTCTTGTTTATTAGTTCTATTTTGTGTTTCCTCTATACATTCACTTATATTAGAAATATGTATATCATTTATAGTTCTTATTATATTTTCAATTGATTCTTTCAAATAGTTAAACCCATATATTACAGATGAAATTGCAATTTTCAAATCATTTCTATTTCTAATTAATATTACATTACATAATGCTTGAATTGAATTAGTCATTATTTCTTGTAAACAATATTTTAATATAACTGAAGCTAAATCTAACAAGCCCTTATTTAACAAAATCTCTATTATACTTATTAAGGGTTCCATTATTCCCTTCCTAAAATTTTCACATCCAATAATAAATAAATTTGGTCTATCAATATTATTTGATATATCATTACCATCCAAGCTATAATTTGATCTATAATTGTTATTAATAACTTGACAATCTTCTATAACTTTTATTTTATCCATATTTATACTCTCAATTTCATTTATTATATTTTTTGTTTGATTATTGACTTTTTCAATATCTTCGCTTGAATCCTCAAAATCCTCATTTATATCATTAATATTACATATCTTTCTTTGAATCTCTAGGATAATATTAGATGATATGCAATCAAATTGATAAATTATATTTTTGTACAAATCATCTGTAAATATGTACTTCTCATCTCCGAGTGATATATATGCATCTATTGCTTTTCTACAGCAATCCAATATTTCTTCATTACTTGGATCCTCTAAATATTTCTCACATTCAATATTATTCTCAGTATTATTTTCATTTTGTATTGACTTATTTCCAGTAAAACATTTTCCTATAAGACGGGTTTTAAGTGCTACTATAGCTCTTTCAAAAAAGTCATTACATGTTTCTAGTATCTTCAAATATATCTTTGAATCTTTTGAAAGGTTCAATAGAACATCTTTCCACTTTCTGAATAATGATAATATTTTGTTATATTCCTCATTTAAGTAATAACTCTCTAAAAGCTGTTCCATAAATTTCAAACTGTCTAAAACATCTATACACTTTCTAATTATTGATATTTTATTTAACTTTTGCATCTCATAATTATTAAATAGCTCTTTCGTAAGTATTTCCATTGGTTGTTTCACTTGTTGAACTTGACTATTTAGCTTGTAAACACAATCAGGTATACTTGATAGATCACCATCTAAAGATTTCAAAATATTAGTACTATCCATAAATTTTGTATAATTTGTATATAAAAGTAGTTGCATATCTGTGTCATACTTTCTTATATTTTCAGATAGTTCATTAGCTATATAAAGCAAATCTTTCAAATTTCTTGTTTTAATTATTCCACTAAATACAGAGTTAATATCAAGACTTCTGTCTCTAAAGTCAATATCTGCTAAAATATCTATTATTTCTTTCTTATTCATATTATTTATGTCATTTTCCTCTGACTTTTCAACCTCTTCAGATTCTCCATAATATGCCTTTAGAAGATCATCTAAATGATCACGTCTTTTCTCTAGATTTAAGTTTAGCTCCATATGCGTACTTCTTTAATTATAATAATCTAATTCTGCATTTGAATTATTTAATGTAACAAAAATTTTACTTGTAAGTAATTCCCAAATATTCTGCATTTTGCATCGCTTGGCGCTAATAATGGTGGTACCGAATGTTTTTAGCTGGAATTTTTTTGTACAAAATTTTATCGCCACTTATCTTATGTATTTTATAAATTTTCAAAATATTGACCTATATTCATAATTAGACATAAAATATTCCATTTATTAGTTTTTAAATGGGTTATTTATTCGTTAATCTATCTTTTTTTTATTTCAATATCTGTTAAATAATTTATTCAGCTTATATTCTCAATAAGGATATAAATTTAAAAAGTAAGTAGGCTATATTAGCACTTGTGAAATTATTTTAAACTCTATAGGGGATTAAGTTTCTATTAGGTTTTCTTAGGTAGACTTCAAGTCAAGGTTTTATTTGATATTACTAAGGCGGGCCATTCACGGGATCTTTAATATTTTAAAGATAGTGATGTATATTATAGCTTTAAAGGAAATGTATACGAGTAAATGGACGGGTTTGAAATTTATACATTTAACTTTAATTGTCGTAATATGTAGTCACAATTCAATATTAAGTTTAATGGCTAAAAGTGCCTATTCACCTAATCTAAAATTACAGGATGAATCTTTAAGTGAGGATATAAAATTTGAGTTATTAAAACATACAATGGGTTCTAAGCCAAATATAAAGCCAGCTGATACAGGTATAAATACTTTAGACTTAAATGAGTCTGAGATATCGAATTCTCTTAGTCACGAAACTCCCTTACTCATCAATAAATCTAATGTTGAGGAGAATATAGAGAATAACTCAACTAAAGAAATAAATTTTGAGGTTGCATCTGAATATAGATCTGATGAAGAATCTCAAGAGAATGATACTGAGGATTTTGAAGAAAAGTCTCAAGAAGAAATATTTGACAGTTCCACTAAAGTAACTATAACACCTAGTAATGGTCCAACATTTAAAAAGATGAATATTAGTTATGACAAAGATGAGGATACCAGTTTTGACTCTATAGAGTTGATTAAAAAACAGAATAGAGAAGTTCCAGAATTCTATTATCAAGGTCCACAAATAAAAGAATATCAGGGAGATAATACAAATCCTAATATAAAACTGAATACAGCAACAAACAGACAATATATACCGGATCAAAAAGTTAAAAAAATAGAAAAATATGTTGGAGAAGAAAATTTTCCAATTATGAATCCAATAATGACTATAAATAAGCCAATAAATATATCGCAATCAACAGTTACAGAAGTTAATCCTGCATTCAACACTCTAGGTTCTATGGGTTCTATCAATCATAAAATAATTATTCCTTCTTTAAATATTAATCCAGTTCCTACTCAGAATTTTGTTCAAGCTCCAATTAATAATAAACCTAAAATAATAGTAAAAGACTCTATGATAAAGAAACCTAAAATTTTAACTAGTAAAGAAGGAATTATACCTAATCAAAAAGAAATTATACAGTTAAGACCAGAAATAATGCAGTTAACTAAAAAAGTAATACCAATTAGAAACAAGGCAGAAGAACAGAAGAAAGTTATACCAGTACCAGTAAAGAAGGTAATTGCACCTATTAAAAAGAAAGTTGAGGTCATTCCTGCAATAAAGAAACTTTCAATTCCGAAAATACCTAATAAAACTGTTAAATATATTTCTAAGCCATTAACTATGGTCAAACAACCTCCTCCAATGCTACAAGTAATTAATAGAATGCCAACTCCAATTGGACATATTCAAAAACCAAAACTAAAATTGGTAAAATCGAAACTTAGGAAAAGATTAATTCCAGTAGTCACTAAAAAACCTAAGAAACAGAAATCTTTAGCTACTGAAAAAGGATTTAAACTTAATAATTCTCGTTCTCCAAATGAGGTGAGAGTAAAAGAACTAAAAATAATAGAACCTAGTAGAGTAGTTATAAAGGAAATAAAACCTATTCCTGTGAAATCTCAATTGATGAAGCAAAATACAATAAAGGAGCAAAATTTTAACCAACCAAATATTATAATTCAATCAAATTCTCACGAGAAACCTCAGTTTGAATCGGGAATATTAAATGAAGGAATTCTTAACTATCCACTATTATCCAGTGTAGAATTTGGTATCCCAAATTTTCAACCACAGCAACTCAGGATTCCTGATGCTAAAGTAATGGGAGAAACATTTGATTTAAATACGAACAAAGCCTTACCATCTATTCCAGGTCGTAGTTACAGCAATCAAGCATCATGGTATAGGCAATCGACTATTTTATTTATATTGATGATAATAATTGTAGTCATTGGACTTGGATGCTTTTTTTTGTTTTATTTTTCTCGTTAAACTTTGAAAATGGACCGCAAAGGTATATCTTATAGTAAAAATAATACAATTAAGATATATTTTTAGAGCAAATACTTAAGTAAAAATGAATATTACTTTTTGTTTATATTTAATTTATACAGAAATGGATCTAGTTTCATTATAAGTTAATTTTACCTTTAATTAATATATTATATTCATACTCATTATTATAATATAGCTTTATTCTTCCTAATATTTGTAATAATTAACTATCATTATCTTATACAAGGAATTTTACAACTTCATTCTGTTTTGAGTTTAATTATTGGAAAATGAAATCTTATTAAATATTAAAGAATTATTACTATTCAAATTTAGTTTGGATAAAGAAATTAAACATAGGTAGTGAAAATATAAATTTTGGTTGATTTATTAGAGTTTTTATGTGCAACTTTTATATAACCTAGATATTATTCAATAATTCTAATATATTTTATTTATTGTAATGTTATAGAATTTTTAAATTAATGAGAGTTTGTATTTTAGATACCAATAGACTAAATGAGAATAACTAGTAACAAATTTTCTTTTTTCATATATAATCCCCTAGAGCCTATTATCTTAATTAAACTATTATTTTTTAAAGAGAAAAAAGTTTATATTTCCAAGTAAATAAGGTGTTTTGTTTGATTGTTATTATGTATTTAAGTATACTTTATAGTTTTTATACCTAAGAATTTACCTAGAAATCTAATGAACTTTATTTAATAGTATGTAATAATTTTTAAATTACTATATTTCTAGATTTAGTTGCTAATTTGTAATATATATTTACTTAATTGATATTAATAAATATTATCAAACTTAAATTTTATTGTTTATTATGTCATATAGAATACCTCATATATTTCTATCTATCATATATATTTTAAATAACAAATTTGCCCATGCTTGTATATTTTTATGCTATTTTGGTGAGTCTATTGTTGATGTATCTGATGAGGTATCTAAATTTAGTAAGCCAATCTTTTTTTTATGTTTCAATTGAAGTGAATTTTCAATAGAATCTTCAGTATATAATTCATTATTAAATCTATTATAGTTAGAATTTTCTGGAATGGGGTTATTATTAGAGTAGCTTAGTGGATCAGATAAAAAAGTGTTAACATTTGATTTTCTTTGTTCCTCTAAAATAAATAAGATATCTTCCAATTCACTACATCTTCTAGTTAATTTAGAATTCTCGTACTCTAGAGTTCCAAGTTTATTTTGTAATATTTCTAGTTTTGACTTTGCTTCTATGAGGACAGCATTCATCTCTCTGGTATAATTCTCCGAATCTATCTTGTATCTATCATATTCTTTAGATAAATCCTTTAAAAGTGATAACTCTAATGAGAGTGAATTTAATTTTTCCTTGTATCTCTTCTCTAACTGTCCTTGACTTCTTATATTTGATGTACGTAGCCTGTGTAACTCTTGTTGGAGACCTTCAATATCATTTTGATAATGTATGCATTTGCTACACTGAGTTTGCATAAATATATTGGTATTTGTATACTTGTATATGGTAACTACTCTACTTTATGCCTCAGATAACTATATAGTCTGCCTTCACTTTAATATATTTCTAGAAAGATATGAACCCGCTCGTTAAAATAAATAAATATGATCAAATACCGGGATATCCGATACTCCCCGATACTTTTAGTGCAAGATCAAGGTACATAGACCCACAACATATACGCACCAAGAGTTTTCTTAAGTGCGACATATTTGGAAAACACTAACAAATATTTTAAAACCAAATTTACAGTATAATAAATCTTAGTGAGTCTTCATTTAAGGAAAATTAACTTATGAATAAATAATGTAAATACTAAAGACCTACTAACAGTTGATATACTATAGTAAAGTAAAATTACATTATATCAAAGTAATAGTTAATTTTTCATTAATATTAACCATGCCACTCAAATGGCTGAGGTGGACTTTGTTCAGTAGTGGTTGACTCTACATGTTCATCCACAACACTTGGTTCCTGCTGCAAAGACTCTGTATTATTTTTGGTTGTATTGTCTTTAGTCTCACCAGTAACTTCAGCAAATTCCTCAGGTTCATCTGGTTTTGTATCCTTTAATAGGATAAATCCAGACATCTGTTTCGGGAATATAGGAATGTATCTAGAATCTGGTAAGTACTCAATATACTTAACTTGTGCTGGAAGTACTCTACATGGATTTTGTAAAATAGTCGTATCATCATGAACTAACTCTGTATCTAGACTTTTCATAGTGTTATCTTTATCTCCATTTATTGCATCAGTCTTATTATCAGTATTAATATCCACTAACATTGCAGTTGTACTCACTGCAGAAGTAGAATTCCCATTTTTAGTTTCGTCATCAATAGTCATTGCAGAGACTTCATTAACTTCAGTCTCAGTATTTGTAGTCATTTTCTTATTTTTCTTGTTTGCAGTTGATAAAACAGCAGTGAGGACAACTTTCTTATCTTCGTTCTTTGCAACAGAAAATGGTTTTGGATAATCAAACATTCCAATAGAAGCATTACATTTAACTTTGAAATTTTTTGGCATCTTAATATCTTCAGTAATTCCAATAAGGGCAGTTGGATAGTATACTAAAGATATACAATGTACTAATGGAAACCAGTACCAAAATTGCGAAAAAAGTGTAAGTCCAACAACAGATTTCGATCTTATATGACCAGTACGTGAGAATAAGGATGCCACAACATTCCTCCCTCCTGAATCTAATAAACCAACTCCTAAGATTGCACCAAATCTTGTCGTCACATGTTCATGTTTATCAGTACAAGCTTTAATCATTTGTTGCCTAATAGCATTTGTTTGATCACATAAAGTATTATTTAGTTGCATAAGCACAAAACCAAGCCCAATATATGCAGCTTGTCTAACAAAATCTGTAGTATCACTTGTCATATTTTTTAATATGGAAAGAGCACTTTGTAATCCAGTTCCACAGCAAGTCATACCCAATGTCAAAGCAGCAGCGTATCTTACATGTGGATTGTAGCTATCACAAAGTAATTTAAATACTTGTGGTATATTGTGTGCTCTATTACATAGAACTAAACCTAAAGCAAATACTGCAGCTCTTCTATTATCATCTGATAATTCGGAGACACATGAATGCAATAATTTTTCCAAAGCGAATTCATTCCCAGTACCACAGTAGGCTAACCCTAGAACATACAAGCTTCCATATCTTATAAAGTGTTCATTATCTGAATTCAACTGAAAGTATAAATCATTTGCTTCTTCCTCCTTCTGATACATAACAAGTCCCATTGCTAAAGAACAAGCCCGAACAATCTTCTCATGTTGTGTATCTTTTGCATAAGATAATAAGTCACTTATAACCTTAGAAGATCCAGATCCCAACATTACCATTCCTAGTGCATAAGCAGCTGCCTCACCTGCAACAGCATTATCCATATAAAGGATACTTTTTAATTCCTCATATATTTCCGGATCACATGATCCCATACAAAGTAGTCCTAAACCTAAGCATAATCCATGTTGCAATACTTCATTTCTTTGACAATTGTGAAGTTGATTCAGTAAATACTCCTTTATTTTATTATCAAAGTGATTGGCATGAATTAAACCAAGAGCATAATAAGCTCCACCTTCACTATATGGGCCTCCATGAGAATTAGATGTATTTGAAGTTCTCCCAATAGATGAACCTGGAATCCCCTCTCCATGACTAGGACCAGAAGATGTTGCATTATCTCCAGATATCGATTCTCCTGAGTATGATGTTTGAGGTAAGCAAGTAGATAGTACTTTAAATGATTCTTCTATATGACCCATATGAATAACGCCTAAAGAAGCAGATGTAGAGAATCTTGACCAATGAGTAGCTTTTCCAAGCCATTCCAAGTTATTTCTTAAAAAAACATCACAAGTAGTTCCAGCCTGCATCAATGCATGGGATATAACTAAAGCAGTATGGATAATTGAAGACCTTTGATCAGAATTACTTCTTATATAGTCCAAAAGTCCCAAATCAGGTTGATTATTCAAATATAGAAATTGTAAAGTTAAATTAATTGAGGCATCACCTCTTAGTATATACTCTAATTTATTCAAGGGTGTAGAGTGGATACTAGATCTTAGTGTTAGAATGTTAGATTTATTTGCAGTATTATTGTTAGAATTAACATTGATACTCTCATCTATTGGCTGATTTTGTTCATTTAAACTATCTGTACTAGATAACTTCTTTATTTCCTCTAACATTTTTAAAATAAGAGATTGATTTCCATAGTCCTTGAGAAGAAATGCAATTGAATATCCCATCAAGATATAATCTTTAGTTTTAATTAAATTATGTAGGATAAATGCCAATTTCTGGGAATTCCCAGTATGATACAAACATTCACAATATTGAGGTAATAATTCACTAATTTTAGTTATTTTCTCATTGATTATATCTCCATAGTATCCAATTTTATTTATACCAATATAACTTTCAATAGCTTCAATTAGAATATTGTAGCATTCCAATCTAAATTTGTTTGAGCTTACAATCATATGAGCTGATTCAACAAAATACTCAACTATAGATACCAAACTATCACATCTATCCCCTACATCATCTAAAATACTCCTCATAATATCGCATCTTCTAGCTTCTATTGCTATCCCTATAGCATCAATATAACTGCCATTAGCTGTACAACGCTTTATAAAATCAGACAAAATCTCCTCTAATCTCAAATCCACTCTATCTAATTCATTATAATAATAAAGATTGTTTGAGTTGGAGTTTGATTTATCTTTATCACTTTTATCTACAGACTCAGTCTTCTTGTATGCATCATTACAAACTCTTATAAATTCATCTACACACTTTACAACCATACATTGAGTATATGGGTTATTTTCAGAAGGATCAAACAACTTAGTGCAGTTAAGTAAATATTTTAAAGCTTCATTGTAATCTTCTAAATGAAAGTAAACTTTTGATGCCAATAGAGCAGCTAATTCCCTGTTTGAAAAGCTTTCATCTTCATAACAGCTCTCAATCAAACCTATACAATCAGCAATCTCATACCAGTAATTATCAACAATCATATTTAGTTGTTCCAATGCATATAACTTTAATTCCTCAGCATCTTCATCTAGTAATGCCAGATACACTGAAGCAGATGTCAGTTTAGATGAGATATTCTGCATTGCAGATACTCTAGATATTAACGAAATAGTGCCAGAATCCTCTAGTAATGTTACCATTCAATACTAAATATATTGACAAGAAAGAGTTTAGCTAATATCCCACTTGGAAGATGTTCTCCTTGTGTCAATATTCCAGTATACTGCAGGTATATCCAACCTAATTAGTTATAAAATAAACCGTACAAAACTACACTAAGCTTTTTTTTTATAATAAGACTTTGCCTCGTTGTAGTATAGTTTACTCTATTATTTGAATACCTCAATCTACACTCTTATTTCCTATCCCCCCCTCTCTTTCTTAGTTCGTGGGGTACAAGGATTATAAGCCTCTATAAACAAGCGCTTTTTGTGTGCTAGGTTTGCCGCTTATAAAAGGGGATTTATTATATTTTTTAATATAAGAATTTATAAAAAGTTTTATTAATTCCTTTTTTTTGTAGTTATCTATAAGAATAATAATAAATAAGTAATCATAAAATAATGGAGATTAAAGAGTTATACTAGAATGGCCAGAATAGTGGCAATTAGTAATTCTACACATAATTCTAAGAGCGCCAGAAATTATACAGGAGTTAATGCACATAACCTACAAAATAGGACTGAAAATCATAATATGAGAATGGCTACAACCACAACTATAGAAATTAACTCCTCGCTTAAAAATAGTAGTGCTACACAATTAATATCGTTGAGAACTGAGGAATATTATGAAAAGCAAGGAAACACTAATAAGGAGATAGATACTAATGAAAGTTTGACATCTTTTAATCATTTACAAAATAAACCAAAGGAATCAAACAAAAGTGGATCTCGAGTATGCTGGGATGAGAGTACAGTTGATAATGAATTTATGAATAAAAGAAAATCCAAAAAATGTTGTATATATCATAAACCAAAGCAATTTGGAGAATCATCCTCAGAAGATGACTCTGAAAGTGAAGAAATATGTAGTTATAATAATAGAAAAAAAATTATAGATAAGTATAGCAAAGTAAATGGTGATTAGAGTCTTTTTACATTAATAATCTTTTATTGTAACTTTTACTCTATGATTAACAACTGAACTAAAGTTACAAGTGTAGTAATCTATTTGTTAAAGTATATTATATTACCCAATTCTCTAATAAGACTTTATAAGATATATAGATAGTATTATTCAAGGAATAAAAAGAATAAGTTTACATAATAAAACTATTACAGATCACTTTGATAGGTAGATTAATAGGAGCTCTAAACATTAATATTTATATAATATTGTTTAATAAAAAAAGAATATATGTATTCAAGAATAATATTTCTAAATCTATATATAATTGTTTGTCTATATGCTTACAATTTTATTATATTATTCAAAAATATTAAAATGAAAAATTTAATTTACCAGGTATTTAAGTAACAGTATAAAAGTAATCTTCTATAAATTATTTCAAAGAAAAAGTATAATACCTCCTAATAGCATGTTGTCTTAAAATATTCCTTAGTATCTTTGATATATGTTTGCAAGCAGCTGCTGAGTGTTCAAGTAGAAGATTTAATATATCCTCATCAACCTTTGTATTTAATTCCATTGTTATAGGGGCAATGTTTTCATCAGTACTATAAATTGCAAAAGACATAATTGTCTTTAATACATCAAATTCTGCCTGTACAATATCATATAATGGGATTCTCCCATATAATCCAATAGTAGATGATATTACTAAATCTTTCATACCAATACCTGCATTAGCTAAGGCAAGAGATGTAGCATTTATCGCAGCAGATCTCACACCTCCATCAGCCTCTAAGACATTAATATTTATAATTATTTGTGATTTTACATATATCTCACTTATAGCTGATTCAAAAGTTCTTGTTATAATCAAACTATTTTCGGTACAAAACCTATCATTCTTTCCTCTTTTTCTTCTATCTGGAGTACAAAATGGAGACATTCTAAAGTTACAGTGTAGTTGTATACCTGACTGTGAAGATGAATTTAGAAGTGGTATGGGACCACAAATTGATGTAATCAATTTTGTCTGACCTTGCTCATAATATACACTACTATCACTTAAGTTTGATGTCCCATTGGATATCTTGCAACTTATTCTCCTAATCTCATTAAAACGACGTCCATCAATACGAAACCCCTCTGAGTTTAGTATTTCGTTAAATGACTATAGACAAGTATTAGTAAAAATATTACAAGACAAAAGTATAGCGCTGTAAAGGATCTTTATTTAGTTAAAAAAACTCAAAAGTTTTCCTTTATCTTTTTATACGCTTAAACTTACCATTATGTCAAGTTATTTAAATTATTGGAATATATCTTACATATAATGACTACTTCTAGTTAATTTATATACTTTAGTATCAATATTAAATAAATTAAGATACCCCAAATTGGCGGTATAAATACCGTCTAAATCATTTTTTGTATTTATAAGTAAATTGAATATTTAGGCTTAATATTAACCAGGTATAATCAAGTGTAGACATTATTCATATAAATTCAATTATATATTTTATAGTTGAAGGAATATGAAATCTCATAATATATGGAAGTAAATTATTTAGACTTCAACGAAACTAATACACACTTGAAACTTGAGAATGGAGATACTGGTACACTTCCTGAAAAAAAAAATTCAAAATTAGGAATTAATGATTATTTTACTACAAATAATATAACTATACAATCTAAGAAATATGCGGATATTTTATTAGAGGATATTATAGATGAATTTGTGAATCAATATAAACCTAATATGGTACCTAGAATAATTGCACTAATAGACATGGATGCATTCTTTACTCAAGTACAGCATAAAATTTGCAATATACCTAAAGATAAACCTCTTGTAGTATTACAAAGAAATACAGTTATAGCAGTTAATTACCCAGGAAAAGCTAGAGGTATTAAACGTGGTATGAAATTACAAGAAGCCTTATCTATATATCCGGATTTAGCAGTCCCAGAAACTACATATTATAACGATAAAATAGAAGATAATAATAATTACAATATAAAAAAAATTTCATTGGAAATTTATAGAGAAGCATCAAGAGAAATATTTGATAATATAGCAAACTATATTCCAAAATGCAAAATCCAAATTTCATCAATAGATGAAGCTTATATAGACCTATCTGAAAATATAAAATTAATACTTGAATATATTGTTTTAGTTTTGAAAGGTGAAAGATCTGATTATAGAGGTATTGAAGATTTATTATGTTTAACAGGTGAGGAGATATTAAATTATCAATTAAATATTGTAAAAAATCATAAAGAGATGAATTTTATGAAGTGTCTAATGGATTTATTTCCTGAATTATTCAATGAAAAGGAAAGATCTAGAATTTTTTTAATATTATTTAATTCATATAATGAAAAAGGAAAATTTTCATTATTTGATATTTATGGATTAAAATTTGATGAAATATTAATATTATTAGGAGCTACAATCATTTATAGAGTTAGGAATAGATTATTACAGGATCTTAATTATACTTGTAGTGCAGGTATATCTATAAATAAGATGCTTGCAAAATTGGTATGTTCTTTAAGAAAACCTAATGGCCAATCTGTACTACTTTCACGATGGATTAATCAATATATGGGGATATTACCAATATTGAAATTAAGATTGTTAGGTGGAAAGTTAGGAAAGTTAGTTTCAGAGAAACTTCCAATGGTAAGAATGTCATCAGATCTTCTACAATATAATAAGGGTACTTTAATAAAATTATTTGGTGAAAAGAATGGTGAATATTTATATAATACCTGCCGTGGTATAGATTTAGAAGCTGTTATAGAGACTCAACATTATCGTAGTATTTTATCATCAAAAAATTTTTATTCAGGTTTAGATAATTTAGATGAAATATTTAAATGGCTTCATATTTTTTCATCTGAACTTTCTGAAAGATCTAAAAACTTGTACAAAACATTAAAAATACGACCAACTAAGGTTGGAGTTACAATTCGTAATAAATTAAGTCAAAATAGAACAAGAGTACAATCAATAAATTATAGTGATCATACTCCTAATACAGATATTATATATAAAACTGCTAAGTTTATTTTTTTAAACAGATTTTATGAGCCTAATAATTCTAATATACAAAAAAAAGAATCTGATATAAATATTAGTTATATTAAAGATATATTTCCTTGTAAGTATCTTGGTGTTTCATTACATAATTTAATAAAGAATGATAGTAAATTTGATATATTACAATTTGATATTTCAAATAATAAAACCAATAATAAATTAAGATATGATGAAAATATTATAGAAAATTATAAAAATGAAAATAAAAATAATATACAAGAATTTGATAATAATAATTCATTAGATATATTACAAAGTACAAAAATTATAAATCAATTAGAAACAAATCCAAATATTAAAGAAGATATAATTGAATTGTCAAGTGACTCAGATAAAAGTGAAGATGAAACTTATAATTGTAATATTTGTCATCAAATATTGAAGTTATCTGGTAAACAACAACATGATAAATACCACCTAAATTTCAAATTACAAAGTAGTAAGTATCAAGATCCTATTAACAAACAAAGAACATTACTACTAAAGTCACCACTCAAGATAAATGAAAAGAAATCACATAATTTAAGGAGAAAGAGATCACTAAATATATATACAAGTGAAGATACATTAAAACAGACAAAATTGAATATATAGACATTTCAATAATCTAGTTTAAGAGATCTTTAAGAAATAGATCATTGATATTCACTAACTAATATTACTCTATATTAATTCTTTAGAATAATCGGAATTGTTTACGAGCTGTACCAAATATTTGATTCTTCTCTACTTTTAAAACATTAAATCTAACTGTCTTAGATAATGGACGGCATTGCCCAAATGTAATAATATCACCTTCTTTAACATCAAAGCATGGTGAACAATGAACAGAAATATTCTTATGTCTCTTTTCAAAACGATTGTATTTAGGAACATACTTCAAATAATTCCTCCTTACTACTATTGTTCTCTTCATTTTTGTGGAGATACACATACCTTTTAAGATACGTCCACGAATACTAACATTACCAGTAAATGGACATTTCTTATCAATATAAATACCATCCTTTGCTTCTGCTGGTACTGTAAATCCTAAACCTGGATCCTTAAAATAACGTGGGATTTTAGAATTCGACTTTTTTGATAAAAGTCTCTTTGCCCCAATAAAAATAGTTTCTTGTTTTTGAAAAGCCCTCTCTGTTTGAACATCAATTGAAGAAGCTTGGTGAACTTTTGAGGACATCTTAATTCAAAATTATTTAATAATCACACAGGTAATATTTTATTAATATTTTATCCCTACCCTTATTGGTTTAAATATATTCCAAAGGGAATTAACTATTATAAACAAATCAATTATTTCTTTTAAATATCAGTACTTGTCTTAGTATATAATATTAAGGTGTATATTATTTATAATAATAAATATTCAAGTCTTAATAATAAAATTAAGCGCTACAAAAACGTCTCTTGAGACGCCACGGTAACTGCAAAATATTTTCTAATAGTAAAATGGAGTTCTAACATTAGATCTTATTATTTGCCGCTAATTTATATAAATATATTTTTAGATTATTAAATAAATAGAATAATTTGTCAATATTTCAAAAGTAATTATTTATGATTATATTTTCCTCTTATTATTATCTTAATAATATTACTAAACCAATTTATAAAAAAAACAAATTTCTATTCAAAAAAATAAAAAACTATTAAATATTATATATTAAAGATCAATTTCTTAAACTATACAAATTTTATAAATTTATTTAATATTTTAAGACCAATAACTATATTCTTATACATCCTATTATATCTTTATATTAGATATCTTTATTTATATTTTGGCGGTTGTAAAATTATTACCCTAAGGTAATTTACTCATCAGATTATTATAAGGTAAAATACTTAAATAATCCTTATAATAAGAGAAAATTACAACTGATACCAAATATCTAATTATGTCAGATAATTCAATTTATTGTCTAATTATAATAAAAAAATTCTTAATTCAAAATGGCTTAAAAAAAGCTGTAAAATATATAGACAAAAAACTTACCGAAATATCGAACAATAATATTGAAGATATGGAAGATAATCTTCCTAATATTTTAGATTTACTTCAATCTTATAATAAAAATAATAATATATCAGATCCTATATTAAATTCCAAAAATAAAGTACAAAAAAAGAAAATTAAAAAGAATCATGATAAGGAGACAGATATAAAAAATATACAGTGTTTGGCAACCTTGACAGATTCTTTAAAAAATTCCAATAAAAAAAGTAAAAAAAGTGAAAAAATTAAATTAAATACTTGTGATAATATTTATACTGAACATTTTTGTACTTCTGATCATGATCAATTGGAATTTCATAATATTTACAAATCGCAGGTTAAGGATATAGAGACAATCAATTCTAACATTTATAAAAATAAACAAAGTCAAGAAAATAGGTTTAGTCGAATTAATGATTCATGGAATGAAAAAATTACTGATGAAAGGTTAAAAGATAACTCTTATTGGAATATGAAGAAGTATAATAAGGATAGTAGTGATTTTGCATCTAAAGCTGCAATAGAATTAGGGAAAGTTCGTGGAAAGAATTTCAGACAAGAGAAAGCAAAGAAAAAGAGATGCTCATGGAGAGGTTCTGGAAATATTTCATGTGAGGTGAATTCTGTACAATTCAATGATTCAGATTAAATTTATACTTCCCTTGATATTTAATAATAATTTATTCATTAAATAAATATATAATAGGTTATTTAATATTTATAAGGATATTAACAGGAAATAAAATAATTTTAAGCACTATATATATTAAATAATACTAGATAAATTTGATTATAACAATAAATTGTAGCTGGTTTTCTTTTCTTTTTATTTTCTTCTTAAATTAATATTTTATCATGCCATTTAGACTTTAAAATAGACCTATTCGGCGCTTTTATTCTAAATATTATCCGTTATATATTACTGAGGGGAATATTATTGGGAAGAATGAGAAAATGGAAATGATAGATCAGAGAACTGCTCTTTTTTCAACATTAAATAGCAGTAGAAATCGTTATTCTAGATATGATGAAGAGAAATATAAAGGGTCAATAATATCAAATAAGAAAAATACTACTGTAGATACTCAGGTATATACGGAATTCTACTTTTCCTTAATTTTTATCTATTCTAATATTAATTTAATTTTTAAATGATCTCTTTTATAGGCTATATTAGAAGAACAAAATGATCAATATATGATAGACTTAGAAGCTAAAATTTCAGACCTAAAAAGT